ATTCCTTCAGCTTTATGATTTCACAACATGATTTGAAACATATGAATTTGGAGATATTTACTTTTTTGCACCAAGTAATTCTTTAGATAGTTATTTCCCAATGGCACTTTAAGAACCTCATGTTGGATTGAAAGCTCTACGAAAAGAAGTCTGTTCATGGAATATGAGGTTTACAGAGATGCGAGACAATAGAGGATCAAAGGTTAGTTAAGGTTCTAGGTCTTCTTGGAGTGGACGGATATAATAAACGATAAAAATAAGAGACGTTGCAATTGTGTTTTTAGTACTCGTAGGTTAGTGGAAGGTTGGCTTCTCAGTGCGCATAGGCAATCGTGTTTGTGTCGAAAAATGTGCAGTAACACAACTGATATTCTGTTGCTGTGAACAAGAAATACAACTAAAGGTTCTCTCTTTATATCCTCCTCTCCAAGTCTCTTTGTTGTTTTTGTACCTCATGATTCTTCTTCCAATTAGGGGTGTCAATATTTGACCGGACCCGACCCTAACCTGGCCCAAAAATTTCGGGTTCGGATCAACCCGAACCGGGTTGGGTTCGGGTTAGGGATTTCGACCCTAAAACCGGGTTGGGTTCAGGTTGACTCGGAAACCCGAAATCAATCCGGTTTGACGCATTTTTTATTGATTTAGGAGAGTTTTAGAAGATTGTTATGAAATAAGTAAATGTTTTTTCCGAAAAATAATAAATCATGTTGCTCAAATTGAATTAATTTTGATTTATTTTAAATTGATTGAAGTAAATCTTACCTTAATTCGATTTAGGTTTAAATAAATCGAATTAAATAAAATTATTTTAGTAAAACATAAAAGAAGCGGGCCGGGTTCAGGTCCAAAAATTCGAACCTTTTGCGAAAACAGTCAGGTTCGGTCGGGTTAAAAAGTGCCGGGTCCGATTTGGGTTCAACCCAAACCCGACCCGAAACATGTTTTAGGTTAAAAGATTAAGGCTTAGTATTGATAATGGTTACATATTTTTTGTCATTAGTTTTTTGAAATGAACCCAAATCTGACCCGAAACATGTTTTAGGTTAAAAGATTAAGGCTTAGTATTGATAATGGTTACATATTTTTTGTCATTAGTTTTTTGAAATCTCAGAAATTATATTAACATTTCACTGTGCATCTAATTGTCCATTAGTTTATAGCATCTAAAAGATTAAAGCTTTCATTTGGTTCGGTTGGTTTTAGAAATTTAAATTTCTTGATGCATTGGACGTTCTGATTGAATAACGTAATTGGAAACTTATAAGTTTTTTGCTACAAAGTAATTTTGCAATACTTATTTCTGAATGTCACTTTAAGAACTTCATGTTCGATTAAAGGCTCTACCTAGGTTCAAGGAGTAAAATTTTTATAGAGATGTGAGATAATAAAGGATTAAAGGTTTGTCAATACTCTATGGTTCTTGGTCTACTTGGAATAGACAGATATAATAAAGCAGAAGAAAAAAACAACATTGCAACTGACATGTTCTTTGTATTGTTGTAGAGTATACTGAAAATTTGAGGCTTTTCATCTGCTTTCAACCTCTTTCAAATCCTGTGAAACAACATACAAACAAGTTTTTGATAGGAAATACTTGAGTTTGCAAGTAACCCTAAGGGTAATACTCGAGTTCGCAAGCAAACCTATCACCAATTGGTGAAAAACAGCGAGAATAATGCGAAATCTGGGTGAAAACAGCCCAAGGCAATATATTGCGGAAGAAAAATCAAAGCCAAACAATAAGGAAAACAAGATACAAGAGATCCTCAATTCAAGAGGACGATCGTCTCTCCCAAATCTCTAGAAAAGAACGTCTAGAGCCCAAGTCGCCAAGATACCCTAATTGAAATACAATCTGTCAAAATCTCAGTCATCCCTTGGCATTTGATCCCACGGTTAGGATGAGAATCCGTGGGAGGCTCACATGGATCACGCAAATATCCTTCTATATTTGGGTAGCTGAATTAGGAAGGATTATATTGAGGCAATTATGCATCAATTAGAAGTTATTTATTTCTTTATTAAGAAATATTGTATATATCTATAAATAGGGATAATTTTGTATAATAAGAAGAAGGTATTTTTCCCCTTCTCAAATTCTATGAATTCTAACATGGTATCAGAGCCAACGACCTTAATTGCCGTCGAAGAACGATCTTATATCATCGGAGGAAGAAAAAAAAATCGGAGCATCGCTGCCGACCCTACACGTAGAAGCCGGAAGCCAAGAAGGAGCAGAAGTCCCGATCCAAACTTTCGATCCGATAGGAAGGACAAGTCGTCGAAGGAGGATAGTCGAACATCCAGGAGATGAAGTCGCCCGAGAGAATCGCAAGCCAAACTGATCCCGTCTGGAAGAATCGACCGCAATAACCGAGCTCTGCGGACGACTAGGACGAAGCCCTTGCGGATGAAGCTTGGCGAACAGACGACGGATGGAGGCCTAGACTGAAGTTGCAAGCCGCAGACGAAGCCTTGCCTTGACGGAGAGCAAGTCGTCCAAGGAGGATAGTCGAATAGCCACGAACGAGTCTTCAAAACTTCCGATCCAACAGGAGGAGCAAGTCGTCGAAGAAGGTCAGTCGAAGCCAACGACGGAAGAAGAGAAGACGTGCGACCAAAGCCATGGGCACGGACGGAGCAAGAAACGGCCTTCATTGCCGTTGAAGATCAAGTGCTGTCAATCCATCCAGTGGAGACGGGGATTCGGCAGAGGCCATGCAAACTGAACTCCTCCTGCCGACCGAAAGAAGGAAGTCGGGACGGAGACTCGACTTGCGTCTTGAGAGGGCAAATCGTGCCTTTCTTTGTGCCCTAGCCATCCGGTCCGAGTCTTTTAAAACTCGGCTTAACCAATCGGAAAAAAAAAAACGACCTTCATTGCCGGACAAAAAATTTTTTTTTGGTGAAAAAAGGGAGGAAAATCTTTATCATCGACCTTTATTGTCGACAAGGGAAATTTTCTCCGAGAAGCCTTCATTGCTGAATTTCTGAGGAATACTATGAGAAATACATGTTCCCACCACCGGCGTTCATTGCTGGAATTCTGAGGGATACAAGTTCCCACAACTAGCCTTAATTGTTGGAATTTTGAGGATAGTTTTCCATCATCGGCCTTCATTGCCGACTTTCTCTGGTGGTTGATATCCTATCCATAACCAATGCAGCTCTACCTCTGAGCGAGTAATTGCAAGCTGGTCTCCAGCTTGAGGGGGAGTGTCAAAATCTCAGTCATCCCTTGGCATTTGATCCCACGGTCAGGATGAGAATCCGTGGGAGGCTCACCTGGATCACGCCAATATCCTTCTATATTTGGGTAGCTGAATTAGGAATGATTATATTGAGGCAATTATGTATCAATTAGAAGTTATTTATTTCTTTATTAAGACATCTTGTATATATCTATAAATATGGATAATTTTGTTTTATAAGAAGAAGGTATTTTTCCCCTTCTCAAATTTTATGAATTCTAACACAATCAAAACATAATCCCTTCCTAAACATCTCATGCTCTTAATACAAAAACTTTCGCAATCAATTCTCCCTCTCAAGGCCTACCCGCCCCCTCCTTTTGAATTTGAAATCCATTAGGCAAGTTGGGAACCACCATGTGGGCGGGCAAGAGTAAGGGAGGCGGACATGTTCCGCCTCCTATAAACCTGAGCCGGCCCTTGGGCCGGCTGGACCGGTTCAGGGTGAACCGGCCTAACAGTTTTCTAAACTTATATTTCTCTTTTACGGTCTATCTTATCAAAGACTTATGAGATTCATATGAACTCCTGAACAATGAAGTTACAGTTTTATTGGATGCATCGTGCATTTTCTTTTTTTGAAGCATCTATCTGGCTGTAACCTTTATCTGTACAAGATATGTGCATCAGAAAACTTAGCAAGTAAAAGCAATTGCAATCTAATTTTTTTTAGAAAACTTAGCAAGTAAAACCAATTGCAAGTTTAGTTTAGGTTGCACACTAAAGATTGTTCTTATTTGCTTCCTTAATCAGTTGACAAAAAAAAAGGATGATGTTGGAAAATAGACTAACCCTATTCAAAGATAGAGCAAAAAAAGTAGAGCAGCTTGCACAATTACACATGAATCTTATATAGAATGACTCAATTGATGGCTATATCTTGTTGTTGCTGTTACTGTAGATTGCACTATAATGTGATTGTTGAAAATTGCAGCCCTAATTTTTTTGATATAGCTAAAGATGGCCCTCCCCTCTTTATAAAGAAAAATATTTAAGACAGCTTAAATATAATAAATCCTCAAAATGCTCTTATTACAATAATCCAACAATGTTAGAACTTAGAAACCATTTAGGCGTTTGTCTCTTTACTAACTCGTGTAATACATTTTATTTATAGGGAAAATAATTAGATTCCACCACTTAACAAATGAAATATCTGAATAACTAGGTTTCATTCACCATATGAGAAATAATTTAAGCCTTTGTTTCTTTTTTCCAGCTCAATTCATAAGATATGTTTCTCGCTTCTGCATATTTTATCTGAACAATGTCAAGTCATTTTCCTGATGCTTCTATGTGTTAATAATGTCTGTTTCTGCTTTCCCTAGTATGTCTAAGGTTTCGTTTGGGACGACTTGCTTACTGCTTATTAGAATAATTTTTTAGTACATAAATTAAAAATTTTGTACTGGATAGCTGCTTTAAGAAGCAGTAAGAAAGCCGTCCCAAACAAAACCTTACTATTTTTTTATTGTTTCTTAAAGTAATTTTTTAGTTAATTTTTTTTAATTTTTGTATTAAAAAACTGTTTTAAGAAGTAATAAGAAAGCCGTTTCAAGGGACAGCTATTTATTGATTTCTAAAACAGCTTTTTAGTATAAAAATTTCTAGTTCTAGAATACTAGAAAGCTACTTTAAAAAACAGTAAGAAAGTTGTCCGAAATGAAGCTTAAGAGGCATGCTTGTTATAGTTGAAAGATATTTGGAATTCTCTCCGCCCTTTGATTCAATTCTCTTGTTTCCCAGATTTCTGCTGCTTTCAATTTGGCGGAGAAGAACGCCATACCTAAAGTTTTTGCAGAGAGCACGCTGAACTATGACTTCTGATACAGTTTGTTCAGAAATACGTATCTTTCTACCCCCCTAAATTTGATCTTGCAAGAAATTTATTTTCCCATTCTGTTCTTTAACGGACTGATTTCTGTCTTCAAAAACTGAGCTTTTTCTAAGGCAAAAGGTGATTTGATATTCAAATGTGAATTTATTAAGTTATGCTGGTTTAGCTCTTTTTGATATATACTGAAAAAAATGTGCAAGAAAACAAATTTTGCTAGGTTGGAATTGAAATTTATTGAATTTGTTTTGCTTTGAGATTAGTGCGGCATATAAAGAGTGTTTGTTGTACTAAATCTTAGATAAATCTAATAATTTTTATGTCCAATATAATGCAATTTGATATCTTGATATAATTTTTATTTTTAGATTGCTCAACTCCCTATATAGAAGTTCTCCTCAAAGATTAGTTTTATTGTTGCAGTTTATCAATCTTATATATATATAGTTTCATTTGGGATGATTTTTTTTTATTACTTCTTAAAATAATTTTTTAATTTAAATATTAAAATTTTTATTCTAAAAAATTGTTTTAAGAAGCAGTAGCAAAATCATTCCAAATGAAGCTTTAGATTTCGTGTGGGATAGTTTTCTTACTACTTTTTAAAGTAATTTTTTTGGTAAAAATTTTTTGGACTAAAACCAAAATTTTTTTGCTATAAAATAAATTTAAAAATAGTAAAAAAAGCTGTTCCAAATGAAATCTTAATTTCAAATCAAAATCATCTTCTTAAAATAGGTTTTTTCTAATGAAATGAAGGTCATAATTTATGCAATTTTTGAACTATTGTATTGATGAAGAAATGAACATGAAATTTTCTGAGACGTCTGCCATTTTTTTATATAAATTTTAGAGGATGGTTGGTAGGAATTTTGTATTTGATTTTTGAAGGTCATAATATTTATATGTAAAATGAGAAAAATAACGCTTTGCTAAGGAGAATAACATTTTTGTTATATATTTTACATTTATGTTAATGACTAGGTTAAATAAAATGAAAGTTGGAGGGAAAGCAAAGTTAAAAAAAAAAAAAGTCAAGTTTGTACGAGTGTCAATATTTTTACTCTTCAATCGGATCTTTTTTTGGAGAAATTATTTTGTGTGGTTACCGGACATTTTAGAGGCAAATTAGAATGTGTCATGTCATTCGGTACATAACAATACACAACAGTGGTAGTGTGGTACACAGAAAAAAATGATGTGACGTATCCTGATTCATCTCTGAATGCCGTCTGTTAACTGCGAACTTTTATTAGGTCCGGTGTAAGGACGTAGAGGAACGTTCGGTCGGAGGCAAAATCCCACCAGAAAACTCGATATTTGCTCGGTATTGCTAGGTATTATTTGATAATAACGAGGAATACCGCTCTGTGAAGACCAATACCGAGTTATATCGAGCTATACCGAGCAATACCGAGTTGTACCGAGTTTTTTTCTAGGAAAAACTCGGTACAACTTTGGTATAACTTGGTATTGCTAGGTATAGCTCGGTATAACTCGGTATTGGGTCTTCATGTGATGATATTCCTCGTTATTGTTTGGTATTCATCGGTATTTGCTCGGTATTTCTCGTTTTTTGGCGCGTTTTGGCCTCCGACCGGACGTCCGGTCGGAGGACGTAAAAATTTTCTCGTTGACTGCATAGAATAAATTCTCCTTATCTTGATATTTTGCTTTAGGTTTTATTCGAGATATTTTTTTTACTAGTTGTTAAAGTTTTGCTCATTAGTGTGGCAAATTGTCTTTGGTTTTGAGGTCACATAGGTTTGGCTCAATTATAGACTCTTCATTCAGCTAATGGTCATAAAAGAAGAACAATTATTAAGAGTGCTAGCAGAATTGAACCCTTGAACAATCTCATTAACAAGAATGAAGTTGTTCGCAATATCTATCAAAAGCGAAAGCAGATTGGCCAGGATGTATAAGTTTTTGAAGCAAAGGCTTGATCTTAGGGGTGTAAACGAGTCAATTCGTGTATCTACATAATCGAGCTGAGCTCGCTTAACTCTAATTGAGCTCAAAGTCGGGCACGAGCTCATTTGCTAAACTCGTGCTTGACTCGACTAAATTTTTTTGAGCTCGTTTACTAAGCTCGTTTAAGTAGCTCGAGGTTGACTTGAATATGGAGCTAGATTTTCTAATTTTAGATTTAAATTTTAAGTTGGATATGACAATATTGACAAGAATCCATTATGGAGATTCATAAGAATATGATTATTAGAAATTTATTTTCAGCATTGATTTAACTAGGCATTTATTTTTAGCTCTTATTAAATATCAATGCCTTTATTATGATCTTATGGTCCTTATCCATCCAGGTTCTTTTTCAAGTTCTGATGGCCTAAGTGTTGCTTAGTTCCAGCACCATATGCAGGCCTTTAATTCCATGAATTTAAATTTAATGTCTCCCTTTCACTACAAACATAAGAAACACTGATGAGATTCCTCCAATGTGCTTGTCATTAGTCTTTTTCATCCATAGAACCACTGAACATAAATAAATAAAAAAAGAACTAGAAAAAAATATTGTAGTTAGAGCAAGAATGTTATGGGTTGCATTTGGTTCAAAATAAAATCATCATGCTTCTAGCAGTTACATACAACTTAGGCTTCGTCTGGGGCGGCTTTCTTGTTGCTTCTTAAAAAAATAGCTTTTTAGTATAAAAAATTTAATTTTTGTAGTAAAAAGCCTTTTTAAGAAGAAGTAACAAAGCTGTCCCAAACGAGGCCTTAAATACTAAGCTTATAGTAAATGAAGGAAGCAGTGTAAACTAAATATGTATTACATGTTAGGATTTAATGGAGACAAAAAATAATTCGATCGTCTCCGAAAGACATGCCAAATCATCGAGAAAAGATATCGGAAGTGTACCTGAATCCATTGAAATGCAGAATGAAAGTTTTCGGTCTTCCACGTTTGAAACGACGTTCTCCAAGAGAGCGAGAGACCCCTTCTTTTCACTCAAGATGGGGAATGAGGAAAATGAGAACTTAACTGCTTAAACTTGGGACCACGACCCTTTTATACTTTAAGTGTACATATTTTATTTCAGCCCATCATTAAAATAAAATAAATACTCAGCCGCTACACAAATTAATTCCATATAAATTTAATTGAGATGCCACATAAGCCAAATAATAACTTAATTCTTAAATAGATCACAAATTTATTTGGCTCAAATTTAGATAGCTTCTAATGTATAAAAATTGTATTTATATGTATAAGTATATGAGTCCACATATAGAAATTTTCTAACAATCTCCCACTTGGTTACATATATATACATATAATTATACATTATAAAATAACCGCAAAAGTTCAATATTTGCTATATTTATAAAATAACATCTCAAGACAATATGGTCCATCAATCATATTAATATAGAATCAAAACGATCTTTATTACATTCTTCGTAACAAGATCCATCAATGATCACTATATTAATATAATTAACAACATAGATCAAGTATGTATGTGTAGCATGAAAATTTCATGTAATGTGATATCAATCATGAATATTTTCAACTGGTCCAATATTATAACTAAAAAAAGTTATAATAAAAATTCAATATTTTATGCTAAACTGTAACAAAAAATTAAATAATTTTATTTCAGAATTTTCAATCACTAAATAATAAATACTTTAGTTTGATCATAAAATAAGTTTATAATATTTAAACAGTACAAACAACCTCCCACTAAGCTAGCATAACATCAAAACAAATTACACCCATACGAGTCACATGCTCATGAATACTTTAGGTAGTAATCCTTTTGTTAGTGGGTCTGCAATCATAAAGTTTGTACTAATATGTTTAATAGAAATTTGACAACTCTTAACACTTTCTTTCACAGCAAAAAACTTTATGTCAATGTGCTTTGATTTTGACGAGTATTAGAAGATTTTATTTGCCTTAGCCTTTAGCTCTAGCCGAGTATTAGAAGACCTAACCATATAGTCCTGCAATCATCTATTTGCATTATCAAATAAATATTTCTTGAGGGTGCCTCTAACAAATAATTTGAAGCATTCTAAATGTGCTAAATTATTTGACGTATTCTATATCAAACAATTTCAGAAGTTCACTCAAATTTATTTATTTATTTTTTAATTACGTGCTCATATTGCTAATGCATATAATTACCCCCCCGCTAAATATGATATTTTTGTACCCTTTTGCCCCGCCGCTAGCAGACGATTACCGACTTCTTTCCACTGGTATATAAATTCAACTGGACGACGGCCATTTCGCGCATCTCGGTAACGATTCACGTTGCAGGAATTTTCTCCTCCGGAGCAGAAAGAGAGAAATCGTCAGAGCTACCAAGTGAAGTGAGATAAGCGAAGGTCTAACAATGTCCGAAACCCTAGGACGATACGAGACGAGCATAGGTGGATACGTCGGGTATGGCGGCGAATCTCTTTTGTCGAATGGTGCCTACTCGGGAAATTCCAGATCGCAGGTCTGCTTCTCTTCTATCTCTGTTCGTGTTATAGTTTTTTGCTGTTGGCGCGCGTACCGGTTTGGTTGGTTAACAAAGTTGGTAAAATTCTGCTGTGGAATGATTTTGCTGATAACTCCGTGTGCTTTTTTTTTGCCTTCGATCTGCTGTTAATTTTGTGGATTGGAGTCGTGAATTCAGTGGCACGAGGCTTTATAGTTTCTGGGAATAATCCGTTCGATGTTTGAGTTTTGAACTGGATGCGTATGAGTCTTCTCTTTAGGTTCAAAGTGGAACCTTTTTTGGGTTAGATTTTCTCCGTGTGAACTATATGAGGAATATGCTTCTTTCTCTAGTTGTTCGTGCTTATACTTACAGAAACGAGGGTTTTATTTTTTTTGTTTGTGATGGTCTATTGTATTGGGGGGATTGTGACTTTGGGCGATCAAGTCATTAATAAGAGTACACTTTTTAGATATTTTGGGTCTATTGTTTAGAGTGATGGTGAAATATAGTGATGGTGAAATAGATGAGGATATTGTTATTATAATTCAAGTTGGACGGCTGAAGTGGAGGGATGCATTGGGCTTGCTGTGTGATAGAAAAGTCCCCTTCAAACTTAAGGGAAAATTCTATAAGATGGTTGTTAGACTTGCAATGCTTTATGGTGCAGAATGTTGTCCATTAAAAGAGAAATATAATATTAAGTTAATTGTTGCAGAGATGAGAATGCTCAGGTGGATGAGTGACTTTACTCTTAGAGACAGGATACGAAATGAACATATACATGAAAAGATTGGAGTAGCTTCAGTGGAAGATAAGATTAGAGAGAGTCTCCTTAGATTGTTTAGTCACATAAAATGAAGGCCTTCCAATAACCCAGTTAGGAAAGTAGATGTATTAGATTTGACTTATGTTAAGAAGGGTAGATGTAGACCTAAAAAGACCTGATTAGAAAATATTAGAAGTGACCTTTCTTTTTTAGATTTAAATGAGAATTTAAATTTTAACAGGGCACAATAGAGAAAAAGGATTCATGTAGCCGACCCCACATAGTGGGTTAAAGGCTTGTTGTTGTTGTTGTTGTATGGTTTGTTAGCTCTGCATCTTATTTGAGGTGTAAATAATTTGTTTCTTATTGGTTGATCTACTCGATATTAGCAGTTTTCGTTCCATTGCTATAATGGAAGATGGAAATACATTATGTTATAATTTGTGAAATGATCTCCTTAGAGTGGGGTTTCGGTATTAATTTTTAAAAAGTTCTTGTATACCTTCTTCCCTCTCTCACTTTTATTCTTCTCTTTCGATTTTTTCAATGTGAGTTAACTTATGAACATGATGCTTTTCTAATGCATGAGAAACATTTGAGAAGTGCTGCTGTTCCATTTTTTCACATAGTATGTAATTTTTTGTTTATTTGCAACACAATTTACAGGAGCATGAGCAATGGTCCTCTAAAAGTAGGGAAAGAGGCAGAGTAAAGGAAGACAAAGAAACCAATAGAGACGAGGAAAGTGATTTGTATATGGAAAGGGAGAGAGATAAGGAACGTGACCGCCATCATGGAGACCACAAGGACAGAAGTGATAGAAAGAAACGTGAACAAGATAGAGTTGATCGCTATGATCATCACCGAAGAAGATGTAGATCTGAAGATCATGATCGCGATCGCCATGGCCATCGCCATAGGCGAGATTTTGATGGTTATGAACAGGATCAATGTCATGATGCCGATGATTATAGAAAAAATTGCAGCCGAGATTTTGATAGGTAAGAAGATCTTATGTTGTTTGTCCAAAACTTGTGTTTTCCCTAATTTTATGGTGGGTACTTACAAATTTTCGTGCACCTAGTGCAAGTGGCTTCAAATTTATACTTTACTTTTAAAAAATATAAAAATCCTTCAAATTTTCTTTCAATATATGACTTGCTGTATTCTTCTGCTGTAGAATGTGGAGATCTTCCAAAGTTCAATCTTCAAACTAGTAATGGACGCTAACATTACACACTATAAATCATTTTAATGAGAAACTACGTGGAATTCATTTGGACAATAAAATATTTGCCTTCCTAATCAATTAATACATTATAAAGTACCAAGTTAACATAGAAAGATTTATTTTTTCTGAACCACATCTTTAAGTATAAAATAGTGGCATACCATTCATATCATTATTCTTTCTATATTGTCATTTGAAAGGCTTTAGAGATATTTGATAGGTTTTACCGAGCTTTATAAGAAAGCAACCATCGTTTTCTTAATCTAAAAAAAAAAAAAAACATCTTTTCTTAATCTAAACATGCATTGTAAAATGGTCTCTTAAGCTCCAAAATTTTACGAGAATGAATGTTTTATTAACTGCTTGATCAAATAGGAATTTCAAGTAGGAGCATAAATATATTTCTTTTCATCATAAATAACAATAAAAAATATGTTATACAAAACATTGCCACTTAGGCTTCGTTTGATTGGAAGTTTTTGGTGTTTATTCCATTTTAAAACGACAAATTTATTTCTTTTTTACTGTTTGGTTCGTCAAATCACATTTCCAATAACTCCATTTTTTTTTTTTCATTTTTCTGCTGTTTTGAGAAAGTTTTTTATATATGCTTCAATGTTTTTTAAAATTGTCTTTCACAAAAGTACCAAATAACCAAACGAAACCTTAAACATCTCAAAAGTTTAATGATCTCATCATTCTTTTTTCACTTTTATTTATTTCATTATATTCTCTTTGTAGTCCACAATCATAATGTGACACCAAGGAAGGTTTGATGAACTATCAAACATGTAACAAAATTGTCATTCAAAAAAAAAAAAAAAAAAAAAAAAAAAAAAAAAAAAAAAAAAAAAAGAAGAAGAAAGAAAGAAAGAAAGAGGAAAGAAAGACAAGAATTGCACATTTGCATAGCATGGGCTCATCTTTTTTTATTTTTATTTTACGAAATCATCTTTCAGCTAATTCGCAGTTTCTTTGAAGGATATTAACATGGAAATGAAGCCAATTGATATCCTGATATACCGATAAGTTGTTAGGAAAATGATTTGTTCTCTTTAAATTCTTTAGGCATAATATTCTTTCACTGTGAAGAACTCAATATGAGGAGATAAATATACTAATTTGAAAACTATATGATATTAGTCGGTATTCCATTAGTATTGTATTCAAGTAGTAATTAGATTTGCAAATGCCAAACGCACAACAAAAGAGCACGCAAATCCATTTTAAGGTTTGTGGAAAATTGATTCTTATTGTTGACTTTGTCCTTACTGGCGATTCTTCCCTATTTTGATTTCACGAAAGGGACATATTTTGAATTTTTATAGGATAACATTTATTGTTTCTATTTAATGGACATCATGTCCCGTGAATGTAGTTGTAGAAAATGTATTAGAATCCTTGCAAACATGGATTTAGGATGATTAATCTTTGAAGAATGTAGAATATCTACATCTTATATGATATTCTTGTGACTTATCTGTTCCTTTGTTTTTGTTTCGTGCAAGCCTTAGTTTTCTCAAGAGCACATCTGTATTAGTTTTTTGAACCAATAACCACTCGTTTTCATGCTATCTCTTGCCTTTTTAAGTTTTGATAACAAATAGCTTGATGATCTTGTGGTAGACAACATGTTGGGACTTAGAAAAAAAAAAAAAGGGTGGGGGTTAAATATTGGTAAGCTTTAATTTATTGTCCATTATTTAAAGCAACTCCCCCCATTAAAAAAATAATTAGGTCCTTCATATGAATTTACCTGTGAAGAATGAGTCTTATAATTGCTTATATTTGCTGATAAAGTAAAACCCATCTTTCAGATTGGCAATATCCCATCTTTTAGATTGGTAATATGGACAACAAAAAGTTAATATGTGATAAGTTAAAATTTATTGTCCATTATTTAAAGCAATTACCCGATAATAAAAATGTGAGCCCTTCATATGAAGGTTGTTATGAAGAATAAGACTTACAATTACTTATATTGGCTTCTACAATGGCACCCATCTTTCAAATTGATAATTCTTGCACATTTTTTTTTTGGATTCATTACCTTTAATGATGATATTCGTGGGACTATTGCTTACCTTAAATGTTGATATCCATGTGATTGTTTTATGATATAAAGTTACCTCATCACTCTTAAATGTGTAATTTAATATTATTTATTTCGTTGTAAATTATCACCATAAGAGTTGAAATATTTTTCCAATTCCATAGGACAATTTGGTTTGAACTAAAATATGTTTAAAGTATAGCATTGGTTTGCTTTTTAACTTTTAAATGTTTGTTTTGCAATAAACCTGATAGTAAGTAAAATTTTGCAGCAATCTAAATCCATCAACTTGTTATCCTTATTAGTTGAAAACAATTTTACTTCTCTCTTCTAAACAAAAGACCATGCCACCCTTTCATCTTCTAAAATTTTAACTCTAATCTTTCACTAGAGAAGGGCATGGTTGTTGTTTGGATTAGAGTTTGATCTTCCTTCATTATGGCTATTAGCACCATCGCTACCCTCATCTGTAATATGGACATAATGATGTCAGCTTTGTGCCCTTGCCTTGTTATCTAATGTGGCTGTATTCTTTGCTCAAAATTTTAGCGTTGATATGAGTATGCTTTTTGCTTTTTGTACGTTTGATTTCACTAGTTTTAATTGATATTGATATATATTTCCATTGCGACCTATAATGCCCTATGATGAGTATTTCTCTAGCTCAATCTCCTTACCTAGGGTTTATGTTGATAACGCTTGCATATTGTTCTATCTTTAACACTTCTTTCACCATACAAACATATATTCATATAATAATAATAATAATAATAATAATAATAATAATAATAATAATAATAATAATATTAATAACAACAACAACAACAATAATAACAATAATAATAATAAATAGAATAATAATGATATAAAAAAGAATAACAATAATAATGATAATGACAATGATAATACATAAACAACATTAACAACAAGTCTTTATCCCACTATGTGAGGTTGGCAACATGAATCCTTTTTGTCCATTATGTCCTGGTAAGAGTCAAATTCTCATCTAAATCTAATAAAGAAAGATCATTTCTAATATTTTCTAATCAAGTCTTTTTAGGTCTACCTCTACATGGTCATCAGAAGGTTGCCATTTTATGGATAAAAAAATAATAATGATGATGATGATGTTTTTTTTGTTATTTTCTATGAATATTAAAATAGTTAATAATAGGTATTTGCATACTATTAATAGCTACTATTAATTTGAGTTTTTGGTAATCTTCTCACTTTCCACTATAAAGGAGCCTTTCATGACTCTACATTTTTAAATGGTTTGTTGGTACGCATATTTCTTATAGTACATTACAACAAAAGAAGTTCGTTACATGTTATTGTTCATGACTAGGGATAATGATAGAGAGAGTGAATGGTGTTACAAACATGGATCTCGATCTCGATCAAGGGATAGATCCAGGCACAGGTCAAGGTCTCGGTCTCGTTTAGGATCAAGGAGGTAAGAACTGTCATGCATAAAAAAAGATATATTTTTTTTCTTAAATTTACATGCTCGTTTTTTTATATCTTTTTATGTTAGAGGAATATAGTTCTTTAATGTATTATTTTTTCTTCTAGATCGTGTGATTTGGATACTAAACTTAAATTTATAAATTTCTATCTTGAATTGTATCAACTTAATGATTTGACACTCTAAATACAAATGAAAACATAGTTATATGGTTTTAGAACTCAGTATTATTTATTCATGTTTAACATATTATGCGTCTCATTGCTGTTTTCCTGCAGTTTTTTTGGATGGATTTGAAATTATTTGTTACCATGAATTATGATACATTGAACGATCCATACATGCTCTTATGCTTATTTTTACTCTATTGGAATTGCTTTATTCCTGTTAGAATACCTGAGAATTTTATGTCTTGTAACTTTATAGCTCATAGAATGAAGTACTTGTTTCTTTATTTTAATTTTCTCGACTAATGCTAGAGTACATCAATGTGCATTTATAGTCATCATTATCATTTGTCTTATCCCAACTATTTGGTGTTTGATGTTTGTATTATAATTTTCCTTCAGTTTCTGTTAAGTTTTGTCTGGGTATTAAACCTAATTTTCACAAATCTCTTTTGTGAAATTTGGAGGAAATCTAATAAATTTTCCTCTATTTTCTTGTTTGGAATGCACAAAATATGAAGATTTATACAGCCACGGGACCATATCCCTAGCCTTGCAACCTTCAATTCATTAAAACCTACCTAAAATGCATAACAAAAAATTGCAAGCAATTATGTTGAAAGAGATTTGAATGAATTGTTCTAATCCCTTTTAAAGCATAAAGCATTCCTATATAGGGAGAATTTTAGTTCCTTTCATGTTGGAAATACGGCCAAAGCTTCCCCTTATGCTGAGTTATAAATGTCAGTCATTTGATCTTGGACATCAGATTTCTGAAGTTGGCATGTTGAAGTGGCTTTGTGTGAAATCTACTATTTGGACATTTGTAGGAGTGTATGCTAGCCTTATGATTCCTTTTTCTGGTTTCTCTTTGATGAAGTGATGATTGATATCTATATATTTTATTTTGCTATGATGAGCATGATTGTTCGCAATGTTTATGGCAGCTTTGTTATCAAATAACATTTTCATAAAAATTTCAATTGAAATTTTTAGTTCTCAAAGAAACTTTGTTAGTTACATGCCTTCACACATGCTGTGGGATATGGCTCTTAATTCAATTTACACACTATTTGATGCAGGACTAATATGTGTTAAAAGGATGTGTTAAGAATTGCACGATTTGTTGAATAGGCAAGTAAGATTAAAACAATTATTAATCAAAACGACAATAGAAAACAAGAGAGGGGTGCCTACGTTTAGGCTAAGCCACTTGCCAAGCGCTTGGAATATCAAAACAAGTTAGAAACTCAAAAACATGCAAAGTAAGTAGCTTCAATAAAATCCATAGTCTAACTGATGAAGACATCGGAGATCAACGGCTACGATCTTGAGCTATTTATTTATATGTTTTTGTACTAGTTTATTTCATATTGTTGTTTTTCCCTTTATACCCTTATGGGTGGTCATGTAGTGTTGTAGCCCGGAGGGCATTTCAGTCTTTGTTATTTTTCTTCTCATGAGGCCTATTTATAGGCTAGCTTTCTTGTATTGAGATGATGATTATTGAATGAAAATTTTGCTCTTGTGTTCTCTTTGTGAGTTCCTTCTTGAAGATCTCTTAGTGAGTTCTTTTCTCCTAGATCTCTGTGTGAGTTCTAGGGAAAGCCCAAGGTGAGGGCAAAAGCAATACCCGCCAGTCATTGGAAGCGTCCTTGACTCGTGGTTTATTTTTATCTTATTGTTTTCTTCTCCAAATCTCGTTTTCCTCCTCCCCACGCCAAGCTCTACCCGAGTTCCCATCATCCACCACGTTACTCATTAGCTTCCTCCACCGCAACCCAAGATCCACCAAGAAATCCCCAAAATCGATGGCAAGCCCCTCTTCCTCCTTTGGCCGCCGGCCACCACCTTGCCCCAAGCCATGATGAAGATACCAATCATCATAATGGCTCCTTGATTGTGGCCTAGCAATAAATAAAGGAGTTACTGATTTTTGAATTTCAAATTTGAAATTCAAACTTTCCATTTTTGCAAAATTCCTAAAAAGGAAAGTTTTCGAATTGATCCAATCTAAATTTCATGACATGTGGAGTTATTAATTTTTCATCCTAGGTGGCATCGACTCAATTGGAAAACGCCTCATCCCTCCCTAATTTCCCTCCCCCTCTCACCATGTCGCCGGCCCCCATGAGGGATTTCCCCCATTGATTGCTCATTTAATGCCCCATCCTATTTGGATTTGAAATTAATTTCAAATAATGTTTCTCTCAACAGATCTTTCCTAATCTTTTAATTCTGAAATCAATTCCAGAATTAATCAAATAGTTAAGATACGGAATCGAATTTCCTTCAGTCTCTTGAATTGGAAATAAGTCCAAAATATGGCCCCAATTCAGCCGCCTACTTCTTAATTGTGAGCCTCACTTGGAATTTTTTTTTTCAGTTTTCAGCCACCTCTATTAGCTGACATTGAATTAGTTTATTGCTTAATTAATTCCCAAATCAAGCCCCGTCAAATTGGAATTAATTGGATCATTTCGAATTTTCTAATCAGTTTTTTATTGGAAACAAATTAGCTGAATACAAAAACCTGAATTGTTTCGGTTTTCATTAATTCCTAATGGAATTAATTTGAAGACCTCCAAACACATTAGTCTAGATTGAAATCAAGCCTGCCTTCTTTCCCCTGTTGGCCGGAACTCCCCCCATACCGTGCACACAGGTTCCCTTCCACAGATCTCTCCCAAACTTCATCTTACGGGAGCTTTCTGCCTTGCAAGGATTGCAGCCAGAGAATTCCAGCAGGGATTATTTGTTTCCCAGCAACTTGAAGCTTAAAAAAAAAAATCCTGCAGCAGCCCACCGACGTCCAGCCATCCCGGGAGCGACAATTGCTGTCCAGATCTCAGGGACAGCCGTTCTTCCTGTTTAGGAGTTCCCATGAGTTCAATAGGTTGCTATCCTGTTGACCACATCAAACTAGGGTGCTGTCCAGCCGTCCAGAACCAGTCCTAGCTGCTGTCCTGAGGAGATCTAGTGTCTTCCCGCCGCCCGAAGAGACTTCCATTATTGCTGAGTGATTCCAAAAGTTTGAAGGCTGCTGCCCCTTCATTCCATCCATCGTCATAGCTTCATAACTCCTTTTTATTTTGGGTAAACTCTTCACTCACTCTCTATCTTCTGAGTTAACTCTACTCGTGGTTATAATTTGATTCACAAAGCGCATGTTTTATCGCCTCCGCTAAACCTAGTATTTGAATGAGTTTTGAGAGAGGCCCTTCATAATACTAATCTTATTGTTAGCATTGGAATTTCTCGTTGAAACCACTCATGTATGCAAAGTAAGACTTAGTTGGTTATTTAATGATCTCAACCTCTCGCATGTGTTTAGACCTAAGCTATTTTATCACCTTAATGTTATCTCATCGTTTACATCAATAGAGGATTTTGCTTAACATTGCTCTCTAAAATTTACAAGTGCAAACTTTCTTAAGCAAGTCATTTTCGCATGAATTGCATCACATCACTAACAATAAGATCAGGAATATAGAAAGCTAACTCAATTCCTACGCTTACTAGGCTTGACAGAGATAGGTGAACAAGATCTTCATAAATCAATCAAATCACAAGAGTGAGTTAGACTATGAAAATACGAGAGAAAGAAGATTTGTAAACCTTTATCACGGTTGGGTTGCAATCCTCCACTGAACGGTGCCGAGTTGCTCTTCTATAGCTTCGACAAGAGTATCTAGAATGTGGTCCACATATTCCTCGACGGTGTTGTCAATATTCGGATTGACGTCGAAGAAAATTGAATGAAGAATGTGCACGAAACCTTGCTTGTCGTAGGCAAGGCCGTAGTCAAGATCGGGATCGGCCATGCATCGATCTTGTGGCGTCAAAGTATTGACGGAAGTGTTCCTATGCTGTCCTAGCAGATTTTCCTCAATAATCTAAGTAGTGGAAGATGGAGGAGGGTGGTCGGCCACAAGGGAGAAGCTTGGGAAAATTAGGCTCAGATTTTGGTGGAGTTTTGGTTGAATTTGGAAGAGAATTTTGGAGGGAAAGCTGTAAATCATTTCCAAATCAAAGATTCTTGAGTTGGAAAATATTTAGAGAGAATATGAGAGAGTAGAGGGGTGGTGGAGTTAGAGAGGAGGTTGGGATTTAATTCCAAAAGTGGAGATACGATTTTGGAAAGGAATTAAAGGAGGTGGGGCCTTGGGAATTTCGGCCAAAGGAGATGAAGAGGAGCTTTGAATTCTTTCCAAAAGAGCCACTTGGATTTTTGGAAACAAATCCCAAAGGGGATCCAATGGGGCCGGTGGCGATAGGAAGAGGAGGTGAGATTTAATGAGGCAATCAAAGCTTCCTTAAATTAATAAATTAAATTTGGGAAGAAATATTTCATCCCAAGTTAATTTAAAATTCAAAAGGCTATGATTTAGAAAGTTTCCAAAATTAGGATTTCTAATTTAGGCAATAATTTCAAATTCAAATAGATTTGAATTTGCTCTTTAATTGCATTACCTAAATTATGAAAGCTAATTTAGGAAAGGTTTAATGGCAAGGGAGTTGGGAGGGAAACCAAGGAAGGCGCCGGCGGTAGAGTGGATTGGCCGTGGATGGTTTGGGGGTTGGGCCTAGCCGACGGGTGGGGGATAGCTAGGATGGCCGGAGGCTAGTCGAGGGAGGGAGAAAGTGGTCGGTGGTGAAGTGACGAAGAGGAAAGGGAAAGATAAAATAACGAACCACGAACCCGGCCGTCTCCAAGGTTGGTGGGTGATCCAAATTCCCTCTCCAAGGGATCTCGCTCCAATCTCTCTCAAGCCCTCATAAGAACTCAAAGCATGCAGAAAATTTTATCATTCAATCATT